TACTCTTAAATTCATGTAATTCCCTCCACAGGATGAACCTAAAATGGTCTGCTATGGAAAATACCTGTGAGGTCATTTTATCACTCCCCCACAAAAGAGTTAAAATATAGCTTTGCCTTGTTCTGAGGATTTCAAAGACCTGTAATGTGATTTTGCTTATTTGGGATTGTGGGCCACCTTGTATGCAAACTTAAATTAAAAAATGAGTTAAAAATTCATTAAAATAATCAAACTATTCAATTGGGAACATTGCTATCCTGACTCTTTTCCCATTTTCTGATTTCCTCTTCTTATGTTACATTCAGTGTATGGCTTTAGAAAAGTATACAAAGAGAGAGACTATATATGTAATGAAATAATACACCTTCATTTGAAATAACTATATGAATTAGCTATGGTCTTAAAATGAATTGTAAAAGTGAATGCTTTGTGATGGAAAGAAATTCTGTTGCTGAAAGAATAAAAGATTTTAAAGAGTCTACTCAGATGTGTATTTTCCTTCTCTGCCTTTTCAGAGAGAACTGCATTTTAATGTTTAATTTTTTTACACACATTCCCAGCACATAATGTACAGAGCTAATCACATTTATTTTCTGGTTTCATCACTAAGAGGTGTGAGGAATTTCTTGCACTGCAACCAAAAAAGGTAAAATTCCTTTCCCCTCTAGCTCTTTGCTCAACTGTAGTATTTGACATTAAGTTCAATTTATAAACAGAGGCATGCAAGTTGCAAATATAAATCACAGTTCATATAGATGTTGCTTTTCTTCTGTACAGTCTTTTCCTTCTCTTTGATTATTATCCATTTCCTTTTGCCATTATCCCTTTCATTGTTCATTCTAAACATAAAGATGCCCTAGCGTTTAGTTTGATTCCTGGAGACACATAACCATGCAATTTTCTGGGCAACAGTATGGAAGTACCTTGCCATTAATTTCTTCCAGGCTGTTTTTTTTTTTTTTTAAATACCCACTCTAGTCTACATTCTGGTATACCCTGTGGTCTTCCATCAAAATACCAGCAAGGTCCAATCCTACTTTGGCTTTGAATACCAGACCAAGTTGTCTAGGTGCTGCCATCTGCTGAGACATATTCCAAATGTTCACCTTTCAGATTAAACTTCACTATTCCAATCTCCTACTTTAGCATACTTTACCTCCAAATTAATTCCCCAAGGTCTTGTGCCATCAGGCCTGCCTGCCAAGATGTCTAAGTCAAGAAAATGTAAGTGCTGGGAAAGTAATTATGCAAATAAAAAAAATAATTTGGACAAATGAGAACTGAGGAACCGCCTCGCCCTGGTTATTTCAGCCCGCCCCACTCAGTCCAGCAGAAGGGTCAGGTTGCAGACCCCACCAGTCAAGTAATTTCAATTGGTGGGGTCTAGACAGAGAGCCTTTTCTGCTGTGGCTCCTGCCCTAAGGAACATCT